CGGCTGTGCTGCGGATGCCCGTGGCGTACATGCTGCTCCTGTTCTCGGCCTTCGGGGGGTAAGCTCGTGCGGCGGTGGCCACAGTCAACCTCAGGGACAGACCGGTGGCGGGGGCTCCGAGCATGCCAGTGGGGCGGGCTCGTGAGATCTCCGCCCAAGTACTCTCCGCCCAAGTACTCAGCGTCACACGTCGCGGATTGCTGGTCCTGGCCCCCTAGACGCAGATGCTGATGCGAATACCTCGCACCTCCGGAACGTTGGTCTCGCCCATAGTCGTCTGGGTCAGCCCTGTCGTCATCGCGCCACTGCTGCCGCACTGGAGCTGGCCGTTGATCACGCCTTGACCAATCATGGTTGCTCCCACCATGGCCGCCATGCTGTCCTTGGAACTCCTGGCAGTCGTCTTGACGAGCACGGGCTCTTTGCTCTTCACCCTGTTCATCTACCCACTCACTCTTTCGGAAATTGTTCTCGGCGAGCTCTTGCCGCGTGATCTTGGGCTCATGTCTTCCGATGTGCTGCCCAGGCGGTTGCTTGTGGCAAGACAGGGGTCCCTGCAAATCCGCCACCATGCCCCGAGGCGAGAAGTGGAGTGTCCTCAGGTCCCTTAGACTCCTCCGACCTCAATCCTGCAGATTCTGTGTAAGTGCCCACAGCTCAGAGTACCGGGCGCTTCTGAAGAGGCCCCCGAGACGGTCCAAGGGTGTCCCGAGTCGTCCGAGCATCGCTCCAAAACGCCCAAGATGACCTCCAGATGGCCCAAGAGGCTCCCAAGACGCCCCAAGAGAGCTCAAAAAGGCCCTCCAAGAGGGCCCCGAGAGGCAAACGTCATTGATGCTCAATAGGTGTTTGATGGATTTTAGTATTCGATCCTTTTCGGGCCTGCGACGCTCCAAGACTGCCCAAGAGGCCACCAAGATAGCCCTAAGACGGCCCAAGATGCCCCCAAGACGGACAAAGACGGCCCCCAGAAGGACCCAAAAGAGGCCCCACAGGGGGAACACGAACCCATACTTCAAGCCCCCCTCCCCATGACTACCTTCGAGACCGCCAGCAGGCCCACAAGGAGTTTCGCAGAAGCTCCAAGAGACTCCCAAAAGGCCGAAATCAAGCCGCAGGAGGCCTCGACGAGGCCCCGAAACACACCCGAAACTCCTCCAGGAGGCTTCCGAGGAGCCTGCCAAGAGTTCCCCACAGGCATCCGAGAGGCCTCTGAACTACAATCACGGCACGGTGGCGGTGCGGACCGAAGGCCACTAGATCCGCCGCCAACTGCTGGATTGCAGCAGGGATGCACGGCACGTCAGATTTTGTCTAGTTCCCAAGCAGTGCTTGCAACCAGGGGTTCCCACTTGTGGTCTACGAAACTGGGCATGCGTGTCGGTCTGTGGCTAAGTTGTCGCCGTCGCCACAACGCCGCCGACGCGTCGCCGCCAGCCGTCTGTGCCTGCAAGTCTGTCTGGCGGCTACGTTGTCGCCGTCGCCACCCGCTCACCGCCTCGTCGCCGCCCGTCCTCTGGGCCTGCGGGACGGTCCAGCGGCTATGTTGTCGCCGTCGCCGCCCCATCGCCGCCCGCCGTCTGGGCCTACGGGTCGGTCTGGCGGCTATGCCGTCGCCGTCGCCGTCGCCGTCCCGTCGCCTCGTCGTCGCCGCAACAAGATAGCGGCGCGCACACGAGGGTAGAGGGATGTGGGGAAAGCTTCTTAGAAGGCGCCAGCCGCCGTTCCAAGATTCCAGGGGCGCGCCGCTTCTTAGAAGAACTCCAGCAGCTTCTGAGAAGCACGGAACTGCTTCTTAGAAGCAATACAGCTTCTTAGAAACAAGTCACCTGATTCTCAGAAGCACGTCAGGAACAGCTTCTAAGAAGCACCCCCACGCTTCTTAGAAGGGGCGCCCCCGCCTTCTAAGAAGGGGTTGCTGCTCAGAAACCGTTCCCTCTCCCCACCCCCTTCTGCGCGTGGCTGAGAAAAGACTGCAACACATTGGTTGCTCCACAGATTGTACAACATATGTTGCGCCGCATAGGTTGCACCACACGAACTGCACCACATAGATTCACAACATAAATTGCACAACGTAGATCACTAGAACCACACTCTTTGGGATCCACGCTGCCTAACATGTGTCAGTTATGTTGTTACATATTCCCAACGCCAGCCACCCAGGAAGCCGATGCGCAACCGCGAAATTCGTCTCCAAGACGGCCAAGGTGGCCCAACATGGCTTCCGAAATACCTCCAAGACGGGCCGAGATGCCCGCAAGCTGGCCTCAAGATCGCCAAAGAGCCCTTCAAGACGGCCCAGTAGGCCTAAGATACAAAAAACATTGTTTGCCCTTCGGTGTTTGAAGGATGTCGGCGTTGGCTCATCTTCCCCTTTCCGGAAGCCCACGGCGGCCCCAGAGGCCACCAAGATGGCCCCACGAGCGCCCAAGAGGCCTCCGAGATGGCCCCCTGACAGCCCAAGAGGCCCCCAAGATGGCCCCAAGAGGGCCCAAGGCAGCCCAGGAGACCTCCAAGACGCTCAAGATGGCATCCAAAATGGCCCTGAAGCGCTGCAAGAGGGCCCCAAGCCTGCCCAAAGAGGCCCCCAAGGCGGCTTCCGACGGCGTCAGACGGGTCAGGAATGCCCTCAGACGGCCAAAGGGCCTCCCAAGGAGCATCCAAAGGCCTCCAGGAGGCCCAAGGAAGACTCGAAGAAGCCTCCAAGAGGTCCCCAGGAAGCTCCAAGGAAGCCCAACAAGTCCCCCAAGAGGCTCCCAAGAGGCCTTTCCATCCTCCTCCTCCTCCTCCTTCTCCTCCTCCTGTTTTCCTCGCTCTCCTCCTCTTCTTCGTCCTCCCCATCGTGTTCCCCCAAGGGTTTCCAAAACGGCTGGGGGAACAAATAGTCCGATTGCTTGGCCGAGCTCTGGCCGCCAGGTTCGGCCATATGGGCGCTTCCAGAAGGCAAGGGGGGGTGATTCGCCGTAGGCGTCTTCGATAATCTCTCGGGTTCCCATGACCGAGAGCCCTGGGTGTCCCATGATCTTCCCCGGCAGAGCCAGGGATCCTTGCGCACGCATGTTGAGGTAGTTCACAAGCCATGTCCTCTGGTCGATGCGGCTGGTTAAAATCAACCTTTCGGAAATTTCCACCTTCGCCAAAGCCGCACATGCTGCCGTACATTTGTGAGACGCCTGGTGTCCCCTGAGGAGCCTGTCCACACGATTGAGACGCTGGAGGCCTGGACCCACCAAGTCCGCGAGGCAATAGCTCTGGCACCGGCGTGGCCCATCCATGTTGTTCATGTGGCTGCTGCCATACATGTTGCTGGCGGAATTGTTCACTCCCCACATGCTGGGTGTGTGCTGCTGGCTTGTTCACTGTAGCCGGACTTTCGTGATCCCAAGTTTCGCGATGCGCTGTGAGGTTGGGCTGCTGAGCCATGCATCTGTTTGGTGTCTGCTTTGGACGCGGGGCTTGCCCTGCACCGCCATGAAAACGCACAGTAGAGCACGCCTGACCGACATAGTCAGACGAGACTTCGTCTGCGAAGCTGCTGCCCTTACCGTCAACCGCCGTTGGCGAGATGCGAACGCCGTATCCCTTGTAGTCGTGCGGGAGTGGCGGTGCTCCCAGAGAGGACTCGACGAAAGGCGCATCCATGTCAGCATGCTCTCCCTGGTCGCGCCCGCGACCGGGATCTGTGCGCGGCCGACGCTGCTGCGGCGAACCGTCGCGCTGGACGAATCTGCTCTCCTGCTCGGCGGCGCCTGCCCTGTCGAAACCCGGTCCTGAACGCCCTTGCTCGTCGGGCTCACCCGGGCAGAGCTGCACATCGACCACAACAGCGGCCTCTGCAATCGATGGCGGCTGGTAGGCCACGACCAGGCAGCGCTGATGCAGGACCCGCTTGATGTCCCAGGCCGCCGCAATGCTGCCCGGCGAAGAGTCACCAGGCGTTGGCAGCACGGCATTCTCGTGCAGCAGCTTCGTTCCTGGAGCCGTCAGCAGTCGTGCGCGCCTGATGACCGGCACGAGCGGGCCGATGGAGGACGTCACTAGCCCGAGGCATTCACAGCAGCGAGCCACAGCCTGCAGCAAGCGCTGAGAGGCGAAGAGCACCACCAGCCTCTTGCCACGTGCGGCGGCGAGGTCTTGCAAGCGCAGTAAGGCGGAAGCCTTGGCCGTCTCCAGGCCGAGGCAGTCCAGGGAGCACCCGAGACAGCCAGCATAGGCGCACAGCTGCGATGGCGGCGGGCCTGGCCACGAGGTGCGGGCACGGTCGGGCCGATCGGACATGCCCTCCACGACGGCAGCACTGCTGCCGCCAGCACCGATCAGGAGGTGCAGCTTCGTCAGTGTCTTGTGGACCCACTTGCTGCTGCGGAACAGCTCCGAGGGACTCAGCGAAAGGATCGCGTCCGCACAGAAGACGGCCTGCAGAGCGCCGCTCGAAGCCAACTCGTCCCGCACTGCTGTCAGCACGTGCACGCTCATGCAGATCTTGTAGAGGCCCAGTTCGAACTCGAAGTCACTGTGGTTGCCGCCAAGCCCTCCAGCGACGCGCTCCGCATGATTGCGAAGCAGCTCCTGCAACTGCTCGCAGCTTGGGGGCGTGGCCCTCGCAGCCGCCTCGATCAACGCAGCATCCGACACGTGGGACGCCTGGGACCGGTAGGCTTCCCACGCGACCTCAACGTTGGCGCGCAGCTCCTCCACGAGCTCCCACTCCCAGGGCGCAACCCGATAGAGGTGCTGCGCCGCGCTCCCAGCCCGGCACTCCTCCATGGCGGGCGTTTCGCGCTCGCACCCCGCCTCGGGCCCGGCGCTCTCCAGTCCAGCCAGCTTGGCATTGTCGACGCCGCAGAGGTTGCGCGGACACGCACCCGCGCTGCTGAAGACGGACAGGGCCGTCCAGGCAGGCCGGGCAGACGCCGCTCTGCTCGGCCACTCGTCCGCCTCGGCCGGGCGGGGCTCCCCCAGATGCGAGGGGCCGGGGACGGCGGCCGCACTGGCCCCTACCAGCAGGGCGTCCTGAGAGGAACAGAAACCAGCAGAAACGTAAACTTTCGGAGGTCCGCGCGGAGTACGCTGATCGGCGCTGGACACCCCTCCCTGGCGAGCGGCCCCTCCCTGGCGCGCGGGCCGCGCCAGGGGCGGCGCAGGAGGCACCGCCAGGGGAGCACGGCGCAGATCCCAGAAATCCACGCGGGCCTCCGAAAACTATGTCTCTGTGCTGCTCTGTGCTCGTTCGAGTCCTTCCGGCCCGATGGCTCGGCCGCCCGCTGGAGCACGCGGGCCAGGTCCCGCTCCGGGGCCGGGCCCTCCAGGATGGAGCAGGCGACCGTGCCCACGAACGCGGAGCCCCTGCCGACGAGCTCGCCGTCCACGATCCTGAGCCAGGGCTCGGCCTCGTCCAGCAGTGCGGCGGCGGTCAGGACGCGGGGGACCTCCAGCTCGATCGCGTCGCTGCTCTTGCTGCTCCAGCGCCAGCAGTCTGCGCGGAAGAGCTCGGCCGCACACCGTCCGTGGCTGCTGGGCCCACTGGCGCTGCCCGATCGGAGGGGCGCTGGTCCCGCATCGGCGTGACTGAACAGCGCGCTGCTGGGTCGTGTCCACTCCAACTTGCGGTCTGCTAGCTTTTCTACTTCCCACAAAGACGGCAAGGTCGCAACTCCAAACTCCAGCGTGCTGACGCCGCGTGGCTGGAAACCCTGAGACCAACTCACACTGTCCGGCTCGTCGCCCGTAACAGAAAAACATGCCAAATCCTTGGCGCAACCATCTTCATGCGAATCTTCCGAAAATCCTGCTGCTGTGCAACCTGCAATGCGCGGCACGACGAGAATGTCCTCCATGCACGGGGGCTCCACGCACCCCGATGCCCCTTGTGCGATCTGCCGCACCGCGTCGAGGCCAAGATCGAGATTGTCGAGACCAGGCAAAGCGGGCAGAGACCACATATCACCCTCGACACACGGTACACCACCTAAGAGAAGATGAAACTCCAGAAGCACGCACAAATTTTCGGAGGTCCGCGCGGATTTCTTGAATCCGCGCGGGACACCCGTCCCTGGCGCGAAGTGCGCCAGGGGCAGCGACGGAGGCGCCGCAAGGGTGTCCAAGCGCCGATCTAAGAAGTTCCCAGGTCATCGAGCTTCGCGCATCGCGCCTACGATGCGCGACGCGCGCGATTAACTTCGCGCCCACGCGCTTTCGCGTCGCCCCTCCTGGAGAAGAACAGCTCATGAAGGGCCCTGCCTCACAGAGCCTTCGGACCTGGCTAATGGCACGCTAGTGACCACCTGAGTTGGCACTAATGATCTATGCAATCGAGTCAACGCGAAGGAAGGATGAGGAGCCAGCCATTCGAAGATCATTAGTGGGTCATTCAGTGTGTCAAAGCAAATCATCAGTGGGCCATTGGTTGGTCATTAGTGGGTCAAGTCCATGAATCGGCCATTAGTTTGCCAAATTGATGAATTGTTGGGCCATTAGCGGCGCCGTGCGCGGTCCCATGAACTAGTGGACCAGTAGTGGGGCATCAGCGGGCCATCTGTGGGGAATTTGTGGGCCATGGGTAGGACCAGAAAAGTAGCAGGGCATTCCATTAGCAGCGGAGAAGACAAGCCCTCCATGAAACAGCTCTCCAGTCCCGTCCGCGACGCACGACGCACGACTATCTTCGTGCCCCCGCGGGTGACCCACCCGCGCGAACCTCCGGAAATCAATACTCATTCCATGCTTCTTCTTCGGGCATCGGGCACCACCGCCCCGCTCGACTTCGCCACCCTGCACGGGACACAGCTCGCCCCGTGGCCCGCCCTCGCCGGCCCACCCCAGAGGTGCCAGCCCGGCCGCGTCGGCCGACAGCTCGTCGTCGAGATCGAGCAGGGCGCCTCCAGCAAGCACGCCGTCGAGCCAACTGGGCTCCTCCTCTTGCAAGGGCTCGGCTGGCTGCGGCACCACCTCCTCGGCGTGAGGGACACCCCGAGATCCGGGCATTGCAACTGTTGCACGCAGGATGCTTTGGCCCGGCTTCGGGCCCCAGGATGATCGCGTATCGATCCGGCTCGAGAACTATCGCAGAAAGAGTGGTTCGAGGGCTCTGGTCGTCACTTTTCGCGACGCTGCAAGTGTTCCGTGACGTCGGATCTGAGGGAACGGGCACTGCGGGAAGCTGGACCTGGACCGGGAGAGCCTCGAAGTGTACATCAAATCGTCCGGTCGGCCACGCAGCTCGGTGTGTAGACGCCCCAGCTTCCCAACCTGTGGAGCGCTGGAGCGTCTACAGCTCTTCGTCCTGAGCCATTTTCTGACGGACCTGGGGCTCAGGAAGGGCCCCGAGAGCCCGCAAGCGGCGGAAGCATCTCAGGGCCCGCTGCCCTCACGACCCGTTCCCTAGAGATCCGATGTGCTGCTTGTCTTCTCGAATAAGGGCCCCCCGAAGTCCCGACCCTTTCCCCGAATCGGCAACTCCGAAAGGTGTGGCGTGCAAAGGGTGTGGTTTGCAAGCGGCACCCTGGGGGGGGCACCCTGGGGGCGGGCGAGGACGTCAACAGAGCTCTCCGCAGCGCCCCGAGGAGGCCCGACGAGGACGGTGTCGTGCTCCCCAGGCCCCAACGGTGCCGATCGCCAGCCGCACCCCGGCATAACCATAACCTTTGTGTAATCGCCGACCCGAGACCGGCCTTTACATCCCGAGTCGTTCGTTGTTTGATGGTCCAAGTCCCGGGACCAAGAAACAGCCCTGAGAGGCTGAAAGCGGAGAAAACCTCGGCCTCGACTGAATCAAGACGCTGGATGTCTTGGCTTCTTTCACGGCGATCCTCCGCTGCAGACAGCCCGCGGACGCCCTCGGGGAGGTCCCAGGCCTGCGGGATCAACGCATCGAATCGTGAAGCCGGGTCGGATCGGAACGCGCGTCGGCTCGGGCCGCACCGGCACGGAGCGAGGTCGACTCGGCTCGGCCGGGCCACGATGCTCAGCAGCGCCCATGCGAGCATCGGGCCGCGTCGGGTCGTCGGAACATCGGCGTCGAGTCGGATCGGACCAGCCGGAACCGACACCGAGCCCGACGGAGCAGATCGACAGTGGGCCCTGCCAAGGGTCACTGGGCCCTCGGGCCATTGACGCGGGAACTCCGGCGGCTGCGAACACGCCCGACACCGAACCGGACTTACCGCAAGGACGAGCGGGGTCAGCACACCGCGTCCCAAGGCACGTGCGCGGACGGGGGGAGGGGGGGGGGGCGTGGAACACACGGACAGAACAAGAAGGGCGCATGAAATCTGGGGAGAGCCCCAGACCTTGCTTCCACCGCCCTGTTTCCCCACTCGGGGGTGGACACGGCCCCTTTGGCAGTTCGCCCTCTCATGAAGACGACCCGCGCCCGCACCTGGCGGGCGCAGGCCTGCAACAAAAAACACTGCGGCCGCCACACCCTCTGGAGGACCGAAGGAGGACAACTCGCGGATCGCCTCGTCGGGGTGGAGGCTCTGTCAAACTCCAATAGTATCCACACTCCCGTTTCCTCACCACTGAGACAAAGCCAAAACGAAGATAACATCAAATGCGAATACATTAAGAACCTTTCAAATCCGTCGGTTCTAAAAGATGTCTCGGGCGCCGCGCCCTTCTCACAGCATTCCGAAACGCTTCTGAGAGCGGTCCAGAATGCTCTCTGGAACGGATCTATCCACCGTCTTGGATTGACATGAAGCGAGCGGGTTTTCTGGGGAACGGGTCAGGGACCCTGGGCCCCCCCAGCGTTTGGTCCTGATTCGTTTGCAAACAATCCTGGCACCCGTTTCCCGCAGGACCCCTCTCCTCCACGGCGCCCTTTTCCACGCCCCCAGAAGCTGAATGGCAATTGCCGTATCGAACCAGAGCGGAGCCCCGCGGGCCCATCGACGGGTCGCCAAGATCGATCGATCGACAACCTGAAATCCGACGTCACGACAGAAACCCACCATCGTGAAACATCGCGACTGGAGCCAGGTCGCACTTTCCTGCTGCATCGCTCGAGCCAGATCGCTCCAACATTACTCGTTGAACCCTTGCGACGGGATCGACGATCAGCCCAGTTCCCCGACGTCGCGCTGTTTTCATGACGCGGACCCCGACGGTCTGGATACTTGACGGTCCCAGGCCCGTCGTCTTGGCCTCAAAGATCGACCTATCGGACAGATCAACTGATCGGAGCGATCGACCAGGCCGACCAATTGGACTGATCGGACCGACCGATAGATACAGCCGATCGGACCGACCAGAAATATTCATCGATCAATCGATCGGACCGACCGACTGGACCGATCGGACCGACCGATCGAATCGATCAATCGATCAATCGACCAATGAACTCCGCCTCCTCCGGCACTTCTTGCACTTCCTGCTCCTGCTCCTCCTCCTCTTCGTCCTCCCCTTGGAAGTTCTCTTCGGGTCTACAGAGTGGATCCCGGGGTGATGGGGTCTGGATTGAAAAACGTGGCATCAACTTTGATGACGCTGATTCTGCGCGCCAGCGGAATGAGAATTCCTTCGTGGGCTGTGATTCCCGTTGCCGAGCAACGGGAAATCGTGATATTTAGATGGCTCTTACAAGCGGGCGTCGGCCAATGAGAAGAACCAAGTGGCCGCTCGGGACTTGAAGCAATCGTGCGCGAGTGCGACGATGCTCAAGCCCCAAGCACCCACTGCGCGTTTCTCGGCCCTCCTCGGGCCCAGGATCGTGATAGAAACATCCTCGTCCTGGTCCTCTTACTCCTGCCGTCTCAGTTATTCCCTCCTCCGTCCCCTCCTGCTCCTCCTCCTCTTTTTCTTATTATCCTTCTTATTATTATTAGTATTCGTCTTCTTCTTATTCTTCATATTCGTCTTCTTCTCATTAGTTTATTATTATTATTATTATTATTCGTCTTCTTCTTCTCCTTCTTAGAATTATCATTCGTACTGTTATTGTTCGGCTTCTGATTATTTCTATTCATATTATTATTATTCGTATTCTTATTCTTATTCTTATTCTTATTATTATTATTATTATTCTTATTATTATTATTATTCATCCTCCTGCTCCTCCTACTCCTCCTGGTCCTCCTGCTCCTCCTCCTCCTCCTCCTCTTCCTCCTCCTCCTCCTCCTCCGCCTCCTCCTCCTCATCTTCCTCCGCCTCCACCTCCTCCTCCTCCTCCTCCTGCTCCTCCTCCGCCTCCTCCTCCGCCTCCTCCTCCTCCTCCGCCTCCGCCTCCGCCTCCTCCTCCTGCTCCTCCTCCTCCTCCTCCTGCTGCTCCTCCTCCTCCTTCTGCTCCTCCTCCTCCTCTCTGCCCTCCTATATCCTGCTTTTCCCCAGCCTCATCCTCCTCCACATCATCCTCGACAGCGACGAGATCCTGCTCCTGCCCCATCCTCCTCTTCTTTCCCTCGGCCGATGAGAGTAGAAGACAGGTCGAACAATCGACAAACCGAATCGATCAGAGGACGATCAACCCATCAATCGATCGGTCTGATCGACCGGTCAACATCTCTGCCCATGCTGTTCGGCACCTAGCCACTAGCAGTCGGCACCTGGTATTACACCCTCGTACACAGGGCCCTCGCCCATGGTCGTAGGGACGATAACCGCCCCCATGATCGCTCGGGGAGCTCAACGTAATTATGGGGTAAGCGCACATTAGGTTGAAGCACGTCCTGAGGCCCATAGTCGTAGGGATGATCACCGCCCCCACGATCGCTCGGGGAGCTCAATGTACGGGGTAACACACACACAGGCAAAAACACGTCCTGAGGATCACCCGGGCATGGAAAAAAATTGGTCCTGGAGTGCACGGGTCCTGGACCCTGGGGCCTCCAGCCTGTCATCCCGAGTTGGGCGCTGCTTCATGGGGGGGCGACCACTGGGGGCGAAGAAAACGTACACCAATCGATCGACCCGATCAACCGATCTATCGCTCGGACCGACCGATCCGATCAGAGGTCGATGAACCAAGCGAGCTGGTCAATCGATCAACCGATCGAAGCGGTCAGTCTAT